AAAAATTGAATCAGTTTTACTTTCCCAAAACGTGATGACAGACACAAAAAAAAAAACACACATCATGGTAAAATCAATAAATTCATCGCTGCGCTCAGAATCTAAAAGTGGAAAGAAATTTGTTATCAAAAACGAAAGCCATTTAGGGATTGTCCTGTTATGCACAATGAGAATCATTTAAAAAATTACCTTTTTTAAATGGAAGCCAAATAATAATAAACTTCTTAAAATAGAAAAAATTAAAATATCTTATAAATTTGACTCCATTATGATTATATACCGAAGAAATAATAAACATAGCAAAATTAATAACATGCAATGTTTCAATAACAATATTGAAAAAAAGTTGTTATGAAATCATTTTTTGAACATGTAATTTTACAACATTTAAAACTGAAAAGCACAAGTTACAAAAATTTTATTGAACATAAAATAAACCGAATAACTACTGTCCAATTAATTTATAGAATTAATTTTTTTTTATTATTATAAAACTATTATTCAACTAAAAATTAAAATACWTAAGACTGGTTTCTACTACAATATAATACAGTACTATAGTGGTGGAAACGTAATTTAGCTAGCCTAAATAAAAATGTAAGATTATATCATATGACATATACCACTTATGGCATAAAATCATTATCGATTATATATTTATTAGAGATAAAATGATGTTTTTGATAAATTTAAATGTTTCTAGCCTTGATGAATTACCAAATAAGTGTATACAATATATAAAATTGAAGGTAAAATGTATCATTGTGTCACATACTCACATGGTACAAAGTGCACATGTTTTAGATTTGATTTTTTTTTTCTTTTGATATACATTATGGATATTATGGAACAAGAAAAATACATTTTTAGAAATCTTAAAAATTTCTTCTTCTTTCCCTTTGCCTTCACAGTTCTCTCATAACTATTTGGGGTCAGCCACCCTGGTCCTCAATTTTCACTTACTACGATCCTTAGCATCCTCCAAAAACACCAGTTATTCTCATATCGTAGTCTATAACTTCAAACCATCTCTTTTTCAGTTTTTTTCTCTTCTTTTTCCATCCACACTTATGTTCTTAGTCACTGACTTAGTCAGTTTTTCTCTTCTTAAGACATGTCCTAGCCATCTCAAATTCTCAAGGTTGARATTCTCAACCTATCCTCACGCAATTTTTGTCAACTTTTGTTAACTCCTATACTACCTCTTGTATTCTCATTTCTTATTCTGTCCTCTCTTGTCACTCCACTCATCCACCTTAACATTCTCATCTCCAAAACACTCATTTTTCTCTCCATTGTTTTATCTATAGCCCAACATTCCGATCAATACATCATCGCCTTACTACTGTCTTATAAAATTTACCTTTTATTTACCTGATTGGGATTCTTCTATCGCATAAAACACCTAATTCTTTTCTCCACTTCATCCATCCACAATAAATTCTATGCATAATATCTTTGTCAAAACCACCATTCTTTTGTAATACGGATTCTAAATACTTGTAATTATCAATTTCATCCACTACCTTGCCCGCCTATTCACTACATACCTAATCTGATTTACACTTAGGAGTCTATCTCCAAGATGAAAATTAAACTCGATATATTTTTAACCCTTTAATCTCAAGTGCTTCCCTCCATTCTTCCAGTCTATAGTTCACCTCCTCCAAACTCTCTCCAACCAATACTACATCATCCACACACAATATACACCATGGTACTTCAACTTTTGCAGTTTTTGTAATTTTGTCTATTAAAAAAGAAAACAAGTAAGGTCTCAATGCTGAATCTTGGTGCACTCCAACTCCAWTCCAAAACCCCTCAGTTTCACCAACAAGGTTTTAACCCTTGTGTTCACTCCTTCATACATGTTTTCATTTATATTAACATATACTTTTGGCAACCCTTTCTTCATAAATGGCCATTTCAAAACCTCTCTAGGAACTCTATCGTAGGCCTTCTCTATATCAATAGAAGTCTTAAGAATTATTTGTATTATTTTTTTATTTCTCAAATTTTTCAATATTTTTTTTAATTTAAAAGAGTAGTTTTAAAAATGTATTCATTTTTTACAATCTAACGTTATATACAAATTATAGTTTAACTAATAGGCTACACAGCCAGCATGAAAAAAAAGTTGGTTGGAAGTATATTATTTTTTAGCATATAACAGGGGATAGCAACTACATCAAAACATTCATAGCATAGATATTAATATTCACTAAATTAAAATTTAAAAAAAATGTAATATTCA